ACCCGCGCGGTCGCCGGTGCGAAGGACGTAGGTGCATGGAGCGAACGCCCCACCACGCTGAAGCTGCGAGTACCACTCACGGAGCTGCTGAGGGGCGGGGACGTCGCAAGAGCGCTGCTGCTGCTGCTGCTGCTGCTGCTGCTGCTGCTGCTGGCGCTGACCACCCCCAGTGCCGCTCTGCTGGGACGAGCCACTCCGACCACCTCCACCACCGCCACCCCCGCCTCCGCCGCCACCGCCGCCACCGCCACCCTCGCCCCCGCCGCTCCCACCGCCACCTCCGCCGCCACCTCCGCCGCCACCTCCGCCTCCACTGCCGCCACTGGTACCTCCACCCCCGCCACCACCACCACCGCCACCCCCACTCCCCCCGCCGCCCCCACCTCCTCCACCTCCGCCCCCGCTAGCTCCACCCGCTCCCTTGCCCCCCTTGCCCTTGCCAGAGCGGCGCCTACCGCTGGGGGCAGACGCCGCACCGACCGACTCTAGACCAACGAGGTCGGCCGCAGCAGCAGAGGCGACAGAGGGTAACAGGGGGGAAGGAGAACACCCCTCAAAGATGGGGGTGCGAGGGTCACCACGAGAGGCCCCTACAGTGACTATGCTCTTCTCGGCCGCTAGCAGGGACTTCTCGAGGAGGTCGACAGTGAGGGTGGTGGGGCAGACAGCGAGAAACTGGTCCCTAACTACACGAAGGGACTCAGGGAGACGGGTGACGAGAAAGTAGAGGGTGATGTACATGGGAGGGGGGTTTTCGGCGCAGAAGGCAGCAGGAAGCGCAGCTCGGTAGCGAGTGTCACTAGCGCGATGATGGGTAAAGAGGTCAGCGACTGTGGGAAAGGCAGCAAGGTCAGGGAAGAGGTACGGTAGCATGAGGCGGCTCAGTGTAGCAGTGGAAGGGGAGGAGTAGCGTGCAACTACAGCGTCGTACAAGGCCTGAGCGGTCTTGCACAGACTAAAGTGTGCACGCTCGGAGGAAGGGAGGTGGCGACGCACAGCAAGACGTGCAGCAGCATCGCGTGTGGCCCACTTGGAGCGAACAGTGGGGTCAGCATCAGCAGGAGGGGCAGGGACAGCGCCAGAGGCGAAGTCAAAGAGAGAGACGTCATCTACTGAATCGCACTGCAAGTACAGCTGCAGGTCCTCGACCCAGACCGCAAAGTCTATGGCGCGACCCTCAGCGTCAAAGGCCAGGACACTAGGGGTGGCCATGATAGCAGCCGACAGTCTCACCAGAGAGGAAGGGTCGAGCAGCTCAGCAGGACAGCAACACGGCAGCTCAGCAACTCCGCCGGCCCAGGAGCAGCAGCAGCCCCACAGAAGCAGGAGCCGGCACCTCAGGCGGCTCGGGCGGCTCGGGCGGCTCGGGCACGCAGCGGCACGGGCGGCTCGGGCGGCTCTGCTGCTCGGGCGGCTCGTGCGGCTCGGGAGACGCTGGGCCTCACGGGCGGCGCGGGCGTCGTGGCGGGCGGCTCACGGGCGGCTCGCGGGCGGCTCACGGGCGGCTGCACGGGCAGCTGGGGCGGCTCACGGGCGGATCGTTGGGCTGCTGCACGGGCGGCTGCACGGGCGGTTGCACGGGCGGTGCACGGGCGGCTCATGGGCGGCTGCACGGGTGGCGCGTCGGGCGGCAGCACGGGCGGCTGCACGGGCGGCAGCACGGGCGGCTGCACGAGCGGTTCACGAGCGGCTGCACGGGCGGCTGCACGGGCGGCGCGTAGGGCTGCTGAGGGCGACGCACGGGCGGCCCACGGGCGGCTAGCGGGCGTCGGGCGGCGCGCAGGCGACGGGCGGCTAGCGGGCGCCGGGCGGCTAGCGGGCGTCGGGCGGCTAGCGGGCGTCGGGCGGCTGGCGCGTCGAGCGGCTAGCGCACGGGCGGCTTTGGGTGGCGCACGGGCGGCTCTGGGTGGTGCACGGGCGGCTCTGGGCAGCGCGCGGGCGCTAGGGTGCTAGGGCGGGCAGCGGGTCGCGAGGGCGCTAGGGCGCTAGGGCGGGCAGCGCGCGGGCGCTAGGGCGCTAGGGCGCGAGGGCGGGCAGCGGTGCGCGAGCGCTAAGGCGGCGCTCGGGCTGCTAGGGCGAGCGGCGCGCTAAGGCGGCGCTCGGGCCGTTAGGGCAGATCAAAAAAAAAAGTAAGAGCAAGGGCCCGGAGCGCGCTCCGGGCAGAAAAAAAAAGGTTCGATGTGGTGGGCCCTAAGCACAGTTCCCACGGGGGAACCTGCTCGATACCATGAGGAAATTAGAACGAGAATGGAATGACTATGAACGAAGTGAGTACAAATAGGAAACCCTAATTGGGTTGTACCCCCTATGGGATACCCCACTATAGCCTACACAAATAAGTAAGCTATAATGTTCTGACAACTAGTAGCGACACTCTAGAAGCAAAGGGGAGTGTTGGAAAGAATTAATAAAACGCTTCTTATGTGTCGTAACACCGAACTACAAACGAGGCAACTACAGAGGAACAGCGGCGAGTCAACCATCGGAGGTTGACAAGAGAAGTAACTGCTGGAGGTTACGTGAAGGTCAAAGGTCAGCAACCCTTGACTTGACAAATACAGTGCGACAGCAAGGACAAACAACTGACTCGCTATTGAGCAGTTGCCCGAGTCGTCACTGTATCGAACCGCAACAGCAACAATAAAACGGTTATTAGTTGTATCCTTTCATATTCTTTGTACTCTTATAAAACCTTGTATCTTCTTGCTTTAATCAATCTATCTTGCCCTCACACACTAGCGCAAGGTGGTTCAACACTTGTTACTAAACGCTTCCGCAAATACAACACTTCTACTCAGAGTTTAGCCTCGGCTTAGCATATTTGAAGCTAAGTAAATCTGCAGGTATGGGTTTTGTAAAGTATGCATGGATGTTAGATAAAGATGGGGACTCTTGATGCATGCTATCCTCAAGGACCTCGTGTGAGCTAATCCATGTAACACTAGCGGCACCAGCGACACCAGTGAGACTTTGGAATGGTAATACTTGACCCTTGTTATTCTAATGCTGCTGTTGGTGATGTACCTGCTGCCTGAAGTGGCGGATCAGTAGAGATGAAGGAGAGATGATGTTGCTGGTGCTCCCCCTCGTGTGTGGTCTCACCGTGCTGTGGTGCCTGATGTGGTGGCTGCACCCACTCCTGCTGCACTGCTGCCTGGTACAATTGTTGCTCCTGCAGCTCCATTGGCTGTGAAGTCTCTAACTGCCTCACATCAAAAGACCCTATCTCCCGGAAACGCGCCCTTCTCTCCTCCATTAAGGGCGGCACCTGGCCTGTTGGGAGTGGAGAAGGGATTGAAGGCATGAGATCCTTGATGCCACCCCTTTCGGCATCAGCCTCAGAACCACCTGCGCCTCCTCCAACATGCTCATGCGCTAAAACACGCGTGTCCACCGTGGACGGTTCCACGGAGAAAGGTACACTGGTCTGAGGCTCGGCCCAAGGTAGACACGGCAGGTCATGGGTGGCGTTGCTTGGCTCTACAACCTGGTCCCCTGGTGTCCACCCTCCACATCCTACTATTGGCAAGTCACTGTCAGAGGAGGCTCTGGCGGATGGCAGAACCCTCTTTCCATTTTGAGCACGTGGAGGATCCTGGGATGGCTGCTGCTGCTGTGGTTGCAGTGGTGTTGGTTGCTGTTCCTGGTAGTGCTGCTGATAGTGCTCCTGCTGTGGTTGTGGCAGTGGTGGCTGCTGCTCCTGGTAGTGCTGCTGATAGTGCAGCTGCTGCTGTGGCCGCAGCAGTAGCTGCTGCTGCTCTTGGTAGTGCTGCTGATAGTGCTGCTGCTGCTGTGGTTGCAGCAGTCGTGGCTGCTGCTGCTGTGGTTGCAGGAGTTGTGGCTGCTGCTCCTGATAGTGCTCCTGCTGCTGTGGCCGCAGCAGTAGCTGCTGTTGCTCCTGGTAGTACTGCTGATAGTACTGCTGTTGCTGCTGCTGCTGTGGTCGCGGCAGTGGTGGCTGATGCTCCTGGTAGTGCTGCTGATAGTGCTGCTGCTGCTGTGGTTGTGGCAGTGGTGGCTGCTGCTCCTGGTAGTGCTGCTGATAGTGCTGCTGCTGCTGTGGGTGTGGCAGTGGTGACTGGTGCTCCTGGTAATGCTGCTGATACTGCTGCTGCTGCTGTGGTTGCAGCAGTGGTGGCTGGTGCTCCTTGTAGTGCTGCTGATAGTGCTGCTGCTGCTGTGGTTGCTGCAGTGGTTGCTGCTGCTCCTGGTAGTGCTGCTGCTGATGGGGGTGCAGCAGTTGTGACTGCTGCTCCTGGTGGTGCTGCTGGTTGTGCTGTTCTTGCTGCCGATATTGCTGCGGATGCTGTTGTTCAACAGGGCCCGACACGCCAGGCATGCCAACAGCAGTGAACTGCACGTCACTGGGCCACTGCCCCTCCATGGCTTGTGCCTCGGGCACGCTAAATGGGTCTACATCCCCTGTGCTCCATGTGCTCGCAGACTGGTCCCTTGCTGCCTGCACTGCTGTGTTACCATGCAGCTCATTCAAAGTGGGCTCTAACACTACCTCATGCACATGTTGCTCATTCCCCAACAGCAGCCCCCCACTATGCACGCCAGCATCACACATCTCACCCTGCTCTGCCTGGACTTCATACGGCGACACTTGATGCGCTCCTTTGGCCTTCTCGTCTACATGGTCTGGCAACCTGGTAAACATCGTTTTCAATGCATCCATGACAGGTACGTCTTCACTTAGCCGACCGACATGACGGCTCTCGTCCCACGAGATGTTTGCTGCAGCCGATCGATGCCATGGAATCATCACAGAACCCCTCCTGGTCTCCCCTGCCTTTGGTATTGACTGAGCAGAGCTCATGCTATCTCTGCATCTGCCGCTGCCTCTGCCACATTCCTCCACTTCTGCTTCCACTTGCAGCATCGTTTGACTCGGGGGGCTGCTGCGGTGAGCCATGGTCATGGTGAGAGGCGTTGCAGCAGTGATGGCCCACGCGTGTAGAGGGTTTGAGGCAACAGAAATCTGCGAAGGTACTTCCTCAAGGTGCATGGATTCCGCCTCGAGCACCATTTGCAGCTGACTGTGCCACTGTGGCTGCTGCTGCTGCTGCTGCTGCTGCTGCTGCTGCTGCTGCTGCTGCTGCTGCTGCTGCTGCTGCTGCTGCTGCTGCTGCTGCTGCTGCTGCTGCTGCTGCTGCTGCTGCTGCTGCTGCTGCTGCTGCTGCTGCGGCTGCTGCTGCTGCTCCAGCCCCTCCTGCTGCTGCCACCGCCCTTCTTGCCGTGAGACATGTGGGTGAGGGGAATGGAAATACAAATCCACATTTCCGATCTGAAGGTCTCCACCTAATGCCATCTCTGTTCCAAGATACATCTTGTCCTCTTGCACTATCTCTTCTGCAGGCACAAAACCTAAACTTCCAGTCCCCACCTCTTCCAGAGCAAAATCCTCCTGTCCGCATTCCTCCTCCACACCGCCATCGCCAGCAACAGCAACCATGTGTGCAGAAGCGCCAGGGATTGTATTGAAGTTGGAACACGGCTCTCCAGGGAGAAACATGGCCGGAGGGATGGAGAGGATAGAAGCAGGCGCGGAGACAGACGAGGTGGAAGGGCCAGCTCTGCTCGAGCTGCTTCCACTGACAGTGCTGCTGTCTGCACGCGCCCTCAACCCAACAACATCCGTGCCCGATATCGCATGCGCTGCCACTTCAGCTTGGCAGCCCGCTGACTGTGCCTCCATATCCATTGCCTCCTCATAAGCCATTTGCCAGGCTCCATCTTCACACAGCCCCCCACCCGCTGCCTGCTCACAGCCCATTGCCTTTCCATTTTGAGAAAAACTTGTGCCTCCCTGCTTGTCCTGCTCATCAAACATCCTCATCCCCAAGCTAGACGTTTCAATAACCTTCTCTGAAGCAGCTTCCCCATTTTCTTCGCTTACTGCTCCTTCGCCCCCCAGAATCACCAAAGGGAAGTTCAGCTTCGTCTTTGTCCCGCGAATCTCCACTGCAGCTCGATCAAACGCCAGGGCAGCTTCCTCTGCAGTGGCAAACGTCCCCAGCCACTTGCGCACGCCAAAAGTCGTGTCCTTTATCTCGGCGATAAATCGACCCTCACCTCGCTTCCTCACTCCTCGGTACTTCCCTGGTTGCGTATAGCTCCGTGTATGAGCTGCATTGCGCTTGTTCGTTGACTCTGATTGAGATCCGCTTGCGGGAAAATTTGTGGCGCTGGACGTCTGTCGCTGCAGTAGCGGCTGCAGCTGCGCCGACAGTTGCTCCAACCTGAGCTGCTCGTGTGGCTGCTGCACCGGCTGCGCCTCCATTTGTAACTGTGTCTGTAGCGGTTCTTCTGGGCGGGGTGCTGGTTTGAGCTGCTGATGTGGCTCCTGCTGCTGTTGCATCAGAGTGCTTTGTGCCCAATGCACTTGTGGCTGGGATGGCACGTGCATTTCTGAAACTGAAGCGGAAGCTGATATTACGGGGACGTTCTCGGAATGCTTGTTCGGCTGCTCCAGCAGCAGATCATGGTCCTCCTGACATATGCCTGGCTGCAGGGCCTCCGCCATGAGTTGTCGCCGACTATCTGATGGTGGCTGCCCCTGGCCGGGCTGGGCAGATCCCAAGGGTCTGGTAAGCAGGGGCATGTCGTGCTGTTCTTGCTGCTGCTGCTCCTGTTCATGCTGCTGCTCCTGCTCATGCTTATGCTCCTGCCTCTGCTGCTGATGCGGCGGTTGATGGTGATGCATCTGCAGCTGCTCCTGCCCCTGCCCCCGCCCCTGCTGCGTCTGCAGCTGCTCCTGCCCCTGCCCCCGCCCCTGCTGCGTCTGCAGCTGCTCCTGCCCCTGCTTTTCCTGCCCCACCTGTCCAAACAATTCTGGCTGCGATGTCCCAGGCAATATGATCGGTGGTGCAGCCGTCATGCTCCCGTCGAATCCCACCAGAGTGCTTGCTTCCATGGTCTGTTGTGCGCGACGAACATGAGCCTCCAAGAGCCAGATTGACGACCCTTCATGCGTCAGCAGACATGGTGCTGGTTGATCGGCGCGCGTGGGTTCTTGGCCAAAGTTAGAGGAAAATTCATGGTCCGCGAGCTCTTCTTGCCGTGCGTGCTGCATGGGCGCTCCAACTACCTGCTGCCCGTCCGCATCAGGGTCCGACTGCTCTGGAAAGGTGTCCATGCTCCGCTCTTAGGCGGTTGAGATGTTTTACGTTTCGGTAGAACTGATCTTGGGCTTCCTTCGATTTATTAAATCAAATTCCCCCCATTCAGAGGTGGCGCACAGTCGTAAACATCACGTCATCGCAATTTTGCGATCCCAAGTTCTGTCTCGTCACTCGCTTTGGGGACAGTTCATAGTATGATTGACACGGTGTTCTCGCGACTTAGTCCAAACCTGTCTCTACATGGAGGCGAATCATGTGAGTACAACGATGGGGTGACGCTTACTAGGTGCTGCTCTAAATTGGCCGCAAAGTGGCTGATTATAATAGTATGACTAAGCGAGCCGGCGTCGGAGCAGTTACTATGCTGCTGGGAGAAATAAGAAGTCTCGGCTCCCATAACCGCGTAGTAGCCAACTTGACTGCTTACTACTTAGTCAAAACCGTGTTGACTTCAGCTCTTTTGGATTACTTTCGTGGCACAAATTGGCTTCTCGTGTGGTGCAAGGGTTTGTGAAGGAGGAACACAGTGAGTTATTTGACCCAATCCATGGATAAAACCTATATACGTTCGAGCAAGTACAAAGATTGTTGTGCTGGGAATTCCTCCAATTAATTACTGGCGGACTGGATTGTCACCCCCAGCTCATGTGTTCTGACTGGAATTTACACCATTATCGTATACGCAAAGAATTGTCACAATCACCACGTTTCTCACGGTTTGAAACAACGTGTACCAGTCCCGCAACTGTTTTTTTCAAGTAGAAACCAGGGTTCCCTTCGGGTTGGGGGGTATATAGATAGTCTCTCAGGGTTCTGAGTCGGGTTAGAATACATGTATTTTCGCTTTCATCAAACTCCCCCCTTTGCCGGTTTGTCAACTGGCACAACACATCTCAACTTCTCTGTGTTGCCTTTTCAGCGAATCACGCCGCCACCATCACCCCTGATTGTTGCCGTCACGGCTTATTCGACCGGCTGATTGTGACGGCGAGAAACTTATGTACACGTATCACTGTACTACATACAGCATGGCGTGGCATGTATTTTTTGTCCAGTCTGGTCACGTACCCAATCTCACTAACTCTTTAAAAAAAACCAGCCTGTAAACCCACCCCAAAATGGCGTTTCCATTTCATGCCCAGAGATACCTGCCAGGCAGTCGATCAATGAGCTAAGGGTCCGAAGTGAAACGTCGACATCCGCTGACATCAGTTTGGGGATGGGTATAAATCAGCCCTCGGATCGGAGATTCCGACCGTCAGGATTCGCCGACATCCGCCGACATCCATCGACGTTTCACTTCGGACACGCTTAGGGCGGGTCACGGCTAACGTTTTTAGTTCGTGACGGTACACGTTAAACGCGTTTAGCGTACAGTAGTCGGTGAAAACCCAGAGCAGATTTTAACCCTGCTTTAACGTACTGGACCGCGCTGAACAAACGGACCGTGATCCGCTGTGGGCTTGAGCGTCAAACGTTTCTGACAGCAATTTCAGGGCGTGTCTGAAGTGAAACGTCGACGAATGTACAGTTTCGTCGAGGAATGTCGGTGAGTTTCAACCCTCGGATCGAGCGTTTCAACCGTCAGGATTCCTCGACATCCCTCAAAGTTTCGTCGAGGAATGTCGACGTTCACTTCAGACACGCTCTCACTACACACTTCTGTTCCAGCAGATCAGCAGGAAAACTGGGTGGACTCCTCCTGCCGGAGACTTCGATTCTGACTGCGGGCAAGAGATACATGACAATCCAGATGAACGCCATGTACTCTACAGTAAAACTTTGAAATACGCGAGAGAAGATTTCCTTCATAAATGCGTTTCAACTTAAATCACAACTGAGCCTCAGAAAGCTTTCACTCGATCTGCTGTGAATGACCAGAAGAAAAAGGACATGCCCAGCGATGACATGTTTCTTCTTTGGGCGGTGGGGCTTGTTGTCAGCAATCTGAGCTCGCCGGCAATGGCATACAGTACATTTTCTTTAGGCCGGCAATTGCTGTTTTCGGGGAGGTTACATACACGTACACAACACGTAGGTGGGAAAGAGATTACTGTATAGCTGTGATCTTGACACATACACACAGCAATCATTGCACGAAAATGTACAGAAAACATTTTTTCTAGTACATCGCAAACTAAAACTTCTAAAAGGTTCGACTGCATCATCATAACAATCACTCATTTGCCGGCGAAGAAGTCACTGTACCAACCAACCAAGCTGCACCACTAACACTCCTCCCCATTTCCCCCTCCCCCCCCTCCCCACCCACCCCCCGAGTGGCAGGCGGTTGTTGACTCTCGCTCGACTCAAAGCTCTATGCACCAAGTCAGCACAGAAACATCACGGTTTCAAGGGGTGCCTCTGTGGTACAAATGTTCTCGTTTATAGTCCTACGGATCAACATCGCCGCGCGCGGACTATATGGCAAACCCTTCAAACCCCAGGCAAAACGTGATACTTATCGTCACGTTCATGAAAATTGCATGAAAAGAGTGGTTGTTTTGCTACTAGTTTCTGGAGTTTGGCATTTACGTAGATTTGGACCGCACTTGCTTTAACTTCCAGTCGCACGGTTTTCCACGCTGGTCAATGTCGCATGACTAACGGTCAAAACAAAACAAAAGAATATATGGTTTGGAGGTAGAGTAGTAACCCAAAACTTCTTTTCTACCCAATAAGCGAGATAAACGAGATGCCATCGTCGATCGCGCTCGAGACAGCGCGACCGGATTGAGAAGTAGTCGCGGTCAAGAGAAACAATTACGTACAATTTAAAAGTTAAAAGATCGAATTGATGATCCCTTCTTCATCGTTTTCCATGAATGTTGGGCTGGTTCGATATGGAGCCTCTGATTGGCTGCAGAGCTGATTCGTGCAATGATTCGGTCAAGCTGCTAGATTTCCCGCCAAAAATGGGACTATAGGGGTCATGCCAACCCTAGGCGATATCGGAAAATTCTACTCAGGGGGGGAGAGGGACTTTCTTAGCGAGAGCCTCTAACCCGGAACATCTGTACCGATGTGCCTCAGGGTGCATCCAAGTCGAACATCCTAGCCAAGCTCTTGAAAAAACCTTCCGAGGTTGATACGCTACACTTAGTCCGCGGTAATTTAACCACGTGAAATTTTTTGTTTAAAACATCTTGTATGCGTTTTCGTCCAATCGGATGGGCACCCAGAGACTTCGGGGCTATTACAATACAACCGGGACAGTTTTACTTTTGAAAACCCACACTTAGTGCTTCGAGATAGGGGGCGCTTTGCCATCATCAGAGTTGCAACTGACGTGACCTCGCGAAGGGGACGCGTAATACTACCCTCATAAATTAGTTAAACTACCAATGTATTCAATCATGACCACGCAGTAGTACCCCCGCGTGGTTAAGATAGCGGCGGTTAAAATACCGCGGACTAAGTGGATACACCTGAAATACATTCAAACGTCCACATCTGCGAAGATATTAGTTGGCGGATTTTGCGCAAGTGCAGTTGGTACATAGTATCTTGTACAGAATATCGTTGTACTGTCGAGACAAGTCTTGCTACATATGTATGTTGATGCTTGCTATCACGGTTT